GTTGACACTTCACTCAACTTGAACCCACAACCCAGGACGATTTGAGAAGCACGATTTCTACAGGTAGCTCCACCAGCTCCACCAGGAGAATCCATGACACATGAATAATTCACTGGATAAATTATTGGGCATAAAAAGCAGTCATCCTTCAAAGAGGTGCAGCTTTTGATGAATTCACAAAGTGGACGGGAATATCAAACAGCACTGTTTTTGGGCGATCGTTGGGAACAAATGGAGGAAATCATAACTGTAAACGGAGAAATTAGATGAGTCTTCTAACAGTGAAAACAATTGTACGGCGTTCCCTGTTCTTCGCGTTCTATAGAGCTCTATCTAAACCTCTTGATAGTCACTTCAGTTTTTCTATAATTGGAGGTCATTTGCAGCGTATCCCCTATGAGGGTTTTGAGATTCGCATTCACGATTAATCCAACAACGGTAAAGAAGGAGTTCGGGTTAGACCCCGGTTTACGGTTGACGTTCTGAACTAAGAATCGCGCATGAAAATGAAGTTTGAAGGATGGTCCTTTGAAATCAATATCATTTATCCGATATATAAAACAGAGTGACGTTTGCCAATACGATTCCTAGTCCTGATAAGAAACACATGGCTTGCTGCCAGACGTTTTAATTTGTGTAGTTGTTTTAGATGTGTCAAGAAATTAAATCCAGTTATCAACATTTCACAAGGATAAGGTACAATTTTGAAAGTATATTTGGCTTACAACGGAGCTGAATAGCAACTTAAAGAGGCTATTTTAGGGCTTTTCCTTGCAAAGTCTATCGAACAGAAGGAACACATCTAAACTTATGGAGCGCTGCTATACCTATTCTCTCTCTCAGTTTCCATCGCATACCGCAATCTGATACTTGACTTCGAGAGGCTGTGGACGTGCGTCAGCAGCCACACGCCTACAAACTCCATAGATGGTTGGGCTCAACATCTCGAGAGTAACACGAAAACGACGGACGAAACTGCATACGGCATGTCAACAAAGTTACTGGTTAATTGGCGAGCGAGTTTTACCCCTTGGTTCAGGAATCAGACAGCAAATCTGCCCAACAACTAAGGGTGCACGAATCTCCGGGTGGAATGTACACTGGGCGAACGATACACAATTAACTAGTATTTATGCACCTGTAGGCTGGCTGACGAATCACGGTTGTGCGAATAATGCGAAATAGCTGGGTGACAAAAACGTCTGCTAAACAAAAACCTACTGACGCCTGACCATCATTTTGAAAGCATCTTAACTGTTCCCTACGAGCTATCCAAGTGAAAGCAAAGCTAAGTTTCTACTCGATCAATCCCCCCTAACTTCGTGGTCTATCAGGGCATGTTGACGGAGCTGCCTCCAAACGGCCTCGTTTGAGAAGGAATAAGAGACAGAAGTTTGAGGATTATTTGGACAACTACTGAGCACTTGGAGTTCGAATGTTGGAGAGACTGTTTGTTCGAAGCAAATGAACAGCTTTCAACGAATAAAACATTCATTTCTTTTTCATCCACAAATTTCTGTTGCTTTTCCACCTAAATCAGACGATTTTCAATTGTGCTGCATGAAAAGCTCTTTTGTAGTTAATGGCTTCACACCACTGACAACTTGAGTATACAGGTAATTAATTGGACAATGCTACCTCTACAGGTGATTTACACAAGAATCGCTCGTGTATGTACTGGCGATCCAGGTATGCGGAGTCCAAAGGATGGACGGCTTTTATTCACATCCTTCTTCAAAGCTCGCCTGGTGTGTCGAATCCGATCAAATGATTCAGCTCATTCTCTCAGGTTCAATAATGCCAAGTAAGTTGTCTGGAAATTGCCATAAATTTAACGAATAACCGCTCAATTTATCAAGAGAATGTACAACTGGTTGTTTGATGTCACAGAACTATGCTGAGGTCTCGATAAAGATTCAAATCCTGTAAGCTCGATTACAAGGGGAGCATTATTCACAGTATGTCGGAGTTTTATCTCAAGCAACTGCTGACAAACGCTTCATTATGTTTAGCAAACTGTACCAATTTCTCGTCTATCAGGCTCCTGGAGAAAACCCAATTGTATGTCTATAGCGATACCAGATGAGGCAAAGCGTGTTCCTTGTATCTTACCTGACCTTACACTTTGCTTATGTTTATGTCAATATTTGTTCTCTTGGTATCCGGACGACACCAGGGGAAGAATAATAGCCGGCAAGGAAATAATAGTTACCTAGTAGGTCAAAATTGATTAAAATCTATATTTGAAAATTCAACAATTACATTCAGAATCCACTTTCGGAAAAAGTTTACTAATCATTAATAGATTGCTCTGCTAGAATTTATTTACAAATTGAATGATGTAAAATTAAACTGAAACAACAATTACGTGTAACTACAAATTTCTCACATTCTGTTTGCGCAGCTTGACTAGTGTCTCACCTTGACTGAATCCAGTATTTTTTCGTTCTAAAGCAAAGCTGGAAAATGCATGTTTGAAAAACTGTTTCCAATGTGAAGCACGTCAAATTGCAGACATTGAAATAGATGAAAAGGCGTCAGTTTCCCCCTAGTTGAAAAGTTATCGAATTGTTATGAATGATATTTTACAAAATTACACCTGCGTTGCAGACCGTGTCACTTTAAAAGTAGCGAAACTTGTGCGAGTGTATCGTAGAATTTCCAACTCAGTGCTACACCGTTGGAGTTGACGTCGTACATCTCTGCAATCATGGCTAAGCATCTTCGATGATGGTATTAACCCCGAAGTTCAGAAAACAATTGTACCTTTTTGGAAGAATCCAGGTGTACATTGAGTCATTCTTGCCCAGTAATTCCGCTATCATACGACGCATTCCAAATTTTATAAAGTCATTGATTATTTAATAGACACCCACACACTAATTATCATCTGGCCTCTTATTCTCTGGAACGTAGTGACGAGAACCTCAGACTAAATTTTAGTTTTCTTCTACCAAAAATGAAACACTTTAGCCAGGTATCGTAAACTGCACTACTGTTCTTCAATTTATTATGGCCACAACAAAGAGTATCACGATAAGTTCATAAAATCCTTCAACCAGTTTGGAATTCATCCATAGTGCATTACTAAAGCATTGCATATTGATCGGCCAAAAAGTGACAATCACCTCATGTTTAGGATCTGATACACGACCGAATGCCACACGTTCTATTAAATTAACATGCGTCGCACCGGCTAAGTGAAGTAAGAAATCTATGCGCGGTGGTTTTGTGTTTGCAGTCTCTCAAATATGAAAAACATCAGCATTTCTGTCCAATAGGCTTGTACGAGATCAAAATGTACTTTTCTTCCGAAACGTTACATGCGACGCTGTTATGGCAGGACTTTTCGGGGACTGCAAGCATAGTGCTACACAGAGTGCATTTAAGATTCAACCAGCCATTGTCACCGGCACACTGACTATTCGACATGGTCACTATGAGTGAATCGAATGATGAATGAATCGTGGCCCACTACCCGCTGTTTGACAGATCACGGATTTTCCGGGGTGCAGCGAAGCATCACATGAGTTTACAATCGGACAAGTGCATTGTACTTCTGGATTAGGCATTCATGCAAATGATTTTATCACTATCCTAGCTGCAATAACAGAAAAGAATACTTGATCCGAGAAGAAAGCAGTGCGTGTGGATGTGACACGAGTGGAGCGGTTACGGCCAGTTATTGGAGTTATTCCTCGTTCTCTCTCGGTCTGATCCAAGAACTCAATTAGTGGGCTTACACATTGAAATAGATGCTTTTATGTGCACATAAATTGCACGATTGCGGGAGAATTATGCTATACAATATTTTTTTATCTTAAAGTACTCAACAGCAATCTAGGCGTGTGCTTTTGAGTCATATTATGTAGCTCCATCCCAAGAGGTAAAATCGTGGCAAATTGAATACAGTGATGAGTTTATTCCTTCATAGTGATATGTATCGGGCTTGACTTTCACGGAGAAACTCAAAGGAAGTGCACTCATACTTAGTTCAATTACCTAAATATGATGAAAATTTCTTTTTCAAATTGATACATTTATTTGAATTGCAGTTGTTTAATTAAAAATTATTTCAACTTAATTTCCGATCATAGCCAAGAAGAAAACAGAATTGTAAATGTAGTTTATTCAACCCTGACATTCATCTTAATCAAAATATAGTTGTATTTATCTTTTTTTCTTTGATCAAATCAGGACTTGTGTAATTAGTCATTAAAATAACTTGCTTATGTGAAATATCGATCTTGGAACTATATGATTCGTTGATTGACCGCCCCAATTCGTTTCACTTTTCTATCTCGAGGTGGAAAAGTCTAGGAACAGGGAAATTGATTAACTGTTCCATTATAGCTCACCGTCCTGTGAAAAAATTGGCTTTCATCTGAACCTTTTGTTTTCCGTTTGAATCAATTTCCCTGTATGTACTTGTGCATATCCGTGATCCAGGGAAGTGCACGTTTTCACTGAGTTGATTGAAAATGATCCAGGTTCAACTAATCTTTCGACTGGCTTGCTTTCAATGTACTAACAACTCAGTAACCAACCAGACCGAAAGGAGAGTATCACAGTCATTCGATATCCTGTATACCCTGATCCGCAACAGAATTTATTGCCATCTGATTTTCTACATGATTTATTGGTAGAATCAGAATGTAACTTTTTGTTGGTTAGTTATGGTCATCCACAAGAGGAGCATTATTATATAATGAAATTTTGCAAACAAATTTACTCCTCTGTACAGGTTCGTTACGGACGGATTGCTCAACGGTTGCTTCTATCTCTCTGGTTTTGAAGTGACTAGTCTAGTTCAGATCCAATGATACACTTCCTTGGTAAAATTGGAAAAAAGATAGAAAATGAGAGTGGCCTATTCATTAGTTCAGAGTTTTTCGATATTGGCCTACCACCCTATGTCAACGAAATGAACTATCTGTTGCTCTCACTTGACTGGTAGTATTGCTGTTGGCATGTGTAAGATCGCCATCATTCGCTCGCTTTAGCTCTTTTAAACGCATTCTGACTGGTAACGCAAATTCAATGAGATGTAGTAGAAGTATTACGAAAATGTGTACCTTGCATTTCTGTATGTTCCGTTCACATTTGTTTCGAAACGGAATGGTTCACTTTTATTGTTAACCCGTTCCATAGTTAGCGCCATGTGTATTTGTAAAATGCAATGTTTCTGGTTTCTTATTATCCCGGGTTGTGTACGTCTGTAGTCAAAGGTGAACCTATATTCTGTGGACTGACTGGTTTTTCATTCACTATTACAGGTATCAATCATCTGAAATACACTTCAACTATCCAATATCTTTCACACAATCTTTCATCAATGGTGTACACACCGATCCGGTTATCTATGGACTATTCTCCGCTGTCGATCCGGAACTGCTAGATGAGATGCCTGAAGAACTAACACGTGGTTTGTACAATTTTGCACCGTTGGCCTTGTGTGCTTATCGGTTGACGGAGATTGACAATCTGATGCGTTCTAGTGATCTAATACAGTTTATCCCTTCCCTTGGACGTACATCCAATCCGGACCGTTTTACGGAGAACATGGTGTACAACGTGTCCGGCATCCCAATCTCCACTTCTTCAGTTCCCATCGAACGGAAAGTGACACGAATTCGTCGAATACACAGTGACCATTTGGAAACAATAACCGATGTGAGCATCCATATGACCTGTTGATAACATGCTTAGGTTTATTTTAATGTTCGGAGTCGATTAACTAAGTTTCAAGTCTTCATCAGGTAATTAATAAACACAAATTACTAATGAAATGGACAGTTGAGGTGTTATTACTATCGGCAAGTTGCCAATTAGACGCGATGCTAGAGCAATCAAAAACATTTGAATTTGTAGTTCTGGGTTACAGGTAGATGAACAAAATGAACATAGAGCAACAACCCTAGATCAATTTTGATAAAACATATGTTCATTCGCTTGACAAAATGAAGGTGCATGAAGTGAAAAATTAACGACCATATCGTTATTGAAATGAACCGCCATGAATATTGAACTTGGCTTTAGACTTTCTCCTCTCAAATACAGTGACAAAGTGCGTTTCCAACGGTTTTATAATGGATAAAACTTCAATGAACCATGCATTTTATTAGTGCACGTCGTTTGATCTTAAAGGTGGTCTATCAAATTCGAGAGAACATGAACTCAGGATCGATCTCAATGAACAGATGAGAACCGGGATGGACACAGAGTTTAGATGGGTTCATGTATATGGGGATTATTGAAAACAATTCCAAAGTGCATCTTAAGTAAGAAAAAAATATCAACATTTAATGTGGCTTTCTATGGCATTAGACAAAACTCACTGATAATTTTTGTAATGCCACAAAATGTATTTTACCTCCAACATTAGAATTAAACATTTGTATACTGGGATAAATTGATCAATTCTTTGATCCGCTTGATGTACGATATATTTCTTTATTTTATGAAATAATATTTAAAAACTACTCTGAGTTTTAGTTGCCCAGATCCCATGGAATGCTACACGTTACTGGCTATCATTGCCATGGTATGATGACCATAATAAACGATTATGTAAAATCGTGGGGTGTAAAGCAGTGATGAAACCAATGTAGTGCTTTTGGGAAGCTGCTTTTTTTTAGAATGTTTCCCTTTTTTAGAAAACGTTGCGTCGAATCCAATGAAAAACCATAAGCGTGGGCTACTTTTACTCATTGGTAGTTTTAAAGAAACCAAAGACTATAGATAGACCCATCTGTCTTTTACATGGAAACGATGTGCAAGACGAATGTTATAACATGAGGCTCTTCCAACCCGAACCAGTGAGTGTTTAAGTTGAGAACAAATCAAATGTGTTACAAATTAGATCATTTGTACATCAATCTCTTTCCGCGTTTTCATGTGTCCCCAGGGTCGGATTTCACTTGTTTGTTTCCATACAACTGTCATTGCAATATTACATATTACATTATGTGGTTCAGTGTCAAGGAATTTTCTGGGTATCCTCATGGCACTAAAACAGCAATTTATTTTTTTCTGGACGAACCATTTGTAAACCAAAATAATAAGTGTAAAACAGTCTTGACAACTAGCAAGTAATTAGAGCTTCAATCAAAGCCTTCCAATGCGTTGCATGTGCCGCCTTGGTACAGCCACACAACTAAAGGTTGTAACCTCAGTCTGATGGTTGAGTTATCCAATGTTGACCGGCGCGGATACAGACGTACCATTCCGTGAAAACAGTGAAAACATGTGGGCAGATTTGTGGCAAATGTTTATAATATACTCTGAGTTACCTCTCATTAAATTATCCTCGGAGCCTGTTTTTGTAGATATTAGTTTTGAATATCCAACTTAGCTACATTCAACTGAATGTTCCAAGTTGGTAATATTATATTGTCATGTTTCGTCACTACTCTAAAATGCTTTGGAATAGAGTGTTTTCCCGTAAAGACCGGATTGAAGATCAAGCACATACCTTCCAGATAAACATTTCCGCACAAATTATTTGCCAACCATATATTACACTATAAATGAGTTGCCAAAGACTAAGTTGGTTCGTTTTATTCGGATATCAATGAATTCTAGGTGACTTCTATGTTCAATGTTTGCAGCAGCGTTTAATTATCTGTATGGTTAGATTCACAAAACTAACCCTGCTTTACGCAACGAATAAAAAGATTTTCAGACTTTCAGACTCATGGAAATTGATATTCGACGCTTCTTATTACAATTTTCGGAGAGCAGACGTTGATAGTTCTATAGGCTTACAATGATTTGTAGATATTTTTCACTGTTCTCATATTGACGAGACTCTCCCCACCTTTACAAATACATTGAGTTGTTTCAGAGTGTATAATTTCTCCTTGGTGCGAATAATTTGACGATGTACTGCATATTGATTTTCTCTGATAGGTAATATTTTAATCACTGGAGGACAACGTGTTTAGTTCTCATGGTCCAAATGGGCATACGTTTCTAGACATCCCAGTTGAGTTTTAAAGTTCGTTGGAGTCAAGTAAGACAAGAATAACCTCTATAGGTGAACGCTTAGAATCTTCGGCAAGGTATTGTGAAGATACTATGCACTCTAAACGGCTAAAACGTGCAAAACAATAGAATGTATTGAAAAACGGATGCGATAGGTTGGAGATTCCTCAAGTTAATCGTAAACTGTGTTCCAATTCGCTAGAATGGGGGCAAGGAAAAGGATGTTGTTATTTTGGTTTATGAAGGAACGATCAGGGAACAGCCTAAATGTGGAACGAGTACACACACAAGTTAACTGAGGTTGGAATGCAAACCTTGCTCATATTGTGTTAGTATAGAGTTGGGTAATTAATCATTGAAATTCGAATATAAAACCCATCGAGGCAGCATTGGGAACACCACTGTACCGGCTAGAAGTCTAAAATATCTTAGAAAGAAAATAAATCCTTTCTCTTTTAATCTAGGAAACAGTACGATCAAAGCGAAAGAATTCCGGCTGTTACAAATTTGAGAATTGAATTCAGTTATGCGGTAAGCATTTTACACGTAAAAGTGTAGAACGACAACATACCAGCACCAAAGATCGAGGCTCAAACAAACTACAAATGTGCTTTGGAGAAAGTAATAATTGTCTAAACCAATCGAAGGAGGACCATTTAATTCTTCATTATATTTGCACACGACGCAGTTGGGGAACTTTAATATAAAAAAATAATATATACATATCATTTTAAATTATACTAACATTACGAAAATAATACTAAATAAAATAATATAACCAAGTAATATAATATATGATTATATTTACCGTTATTCAGGCTTAGACAAAATGTAACGCAAACAAAAGGTATCCTGGAAGATTTATCGTTTCAAAGGTTAATCGCGTACAGTGTGAGAAGGGCTTGATAAGAATGCCCAAAGACTCAGATTTTAGACCACAGTCTCAAAGACGTTGAACGAAAATGCCACGGTATAGGTATTCGAAATCATAAGCGTACATTGCACGCACAATGGTAAACTCTTCATTGAACGAGGATAAAACGAGTGAAAAATGTGAGGAACTGAATCAGAAGTGGAAAGAGGTAATTTGTTAACAAAGTAAATCGTAAGACTCTCAGGCAAAGGAGAGGAACGGTCAATAGCGCTGATGTGAACACAGTCGATCGGTACTTGAAAGAGTTTTGGTAGATACTGTAAATTGGGTAGCATTCCAGCTATTGTAAATACCTTCAGATGGATTACACAAACTAATCAACCTAGAAATACATAAGGCAAGGTTTGCGGCCTACTTTTTTAACAAGTCGGGGGATAATTATCAAGTGCCATTTACTTTGTCCTCAACAGACCTATGTGAGCGTGGTTTTGTGTTCAGTGCCGAAAAATTCGAAAATTCTGATTTAATTCTCTTACCCACGGTATGGAGCTTTCTTGTGAATCCTAGCGATGCTTCATTACAGAATTCATATCCCAAACGATTTTGATCATATAAGATTTTCAGTTATTACGTCCGAATTGGGCGCTGTATTTCCAAGTTTGATTGAAACTGATAAGCATTTCACCGCACTGCGTCTGCCAGTCATGTGGGTTTTTTCTTTATCAAGATGTTCAAGAGGAAGCTCGACAGCGTCCTGCGAACAATGCGGGTATGCAGATCTATCATGAATGAGATCTTCGAGTCTGTGGTGATGAGGCTCATACGGGAAATTACTCTCTGCCTCTAACTGAAGAACATTGAGCATTGAACTTTGAACAAAGACAAAGCACATTGAGACAAGTCAAAGAAGCTCTGTCGCTAGAAATTTACAACTGGACAATACAGATCACAACGAAACGTAGGATAACCGCTGAGATACCCACAACTGGAATAGTTATCGGCATTAATGAAAATATAGAAAATTCACAGAAGTAACCATATCTTATTAGGGTGACAATTTCTATTCTGATGTTTCTGTTGAATAAAGTGGTCAGTTGGTGGTGATAACAACTGACCGTTATGATACAAATACCCTTTGATCTGAGTGTTCCTTAAGGTCCCGTTTTGAACAAAAAAATAATGCTTTTTTGTAAAGATACCTGAGGGAGAATATCCTACTATTGCTATATATATATATATATATATATATATAGTTTACACTCACTGGCAGCACTGTAGTGAAACTGGTCTGAGGCTGTTGTAAGCTGTCTGAAGAAATCTGAGGGAATGATTTCCCCGAATAACTTTGAAAAAAGGCCAGTAGTGTTATGCAGGATGTCTACTGCAGCGAGATTTCTTTTGCATATCATCGGTTACTTCATGCAAATTAAGTAATGAGAAATAACGAAATAACGAATGCAGGCGTATCCCGGGAGCAATAAAATGATGAAAATGATTAGAGAAAAAAACAAAAAATAACTTAATTGCAACAGCATTAAACCAGACAATAAATGGTTGCTTTTACACCATCAATCACGCATGTTTGTTAGGAAAGATCATATTTCCATGGTCTTGAAAAAACCATAAAGTTGTGCGATTTCATATTCTATGTCAGAAGTAGCCATTCTTTCAGCACTGGAATCACTCCCACATTTATGCATTCCTACTGATTCGCCATGCTTTTGACAGCATCGGGTGTGTACAAATACGTGAACGAATGTTACTTGAGATAACTGGTGGGGACGATCAAGTAATCAAAGAAACGCTTCTGGAG